ACATGATTTACCTATACTATTCTAACTAGTTCGGAATTGAGATGTAGTTGGTTAATTGATTGATTTTGTTCTAAATTCCTTTTAGCTCGAAATGTACACAGTTGATTTACATAGCCGATCCTAACTAGTTTGGAATTGAGATGTAGTTGGTTAATTGATTGAGAGCCTGTTTGGGTTGACTTTTGACTTTGGTGACTTACAATCCAAAAGCAATAGAAATTCTAACTCAAGGCTTTCGACTTATTTTTGCTTAAATATATGCACTTTTTTATTCATCCAAACACTTCAAAAAGTCAACCCAAAAAAGCTCTGAGTTGTGTTTTAGAATTCGCTTTAGTTCGAAATGTGTACTATAGAAAGTTTTGCTGTTTCTGGACATTCGGTTTCAATTTAGGCCGTCAGTGAAAAGTAGTCTAGTTAAAAATCGAATAGAGTATATACAATTGATTTACATAACCAGTCCTAACTAGTTTGGAATTGAGATGTAGTTGGTTAATTGAGTGAATTGTGTTTCCGAATTTGGTTGAGCTCTTAATGTTCACTATTGAAAGTGTTATAGTTTTTGGACATTCAGTTTCAATTTAGGCCGTCTGTGAAAAATACTCTAGTTAATTAGAAGGGGATTGAGATGTAGTTGATTGATAGATTGTGTTTGTAGATTGGCATTAGCTCTTAATTATCTAAGTGTTGTGGTTTCAGGACATTAGGTTTCAGTTTATGAACTCAATCAAGGTTCTGGAGAAGCCATTGAATTTGAATTACATTCATTTTCATGGAGACAAGCGAACAATATTGGATGGAACTTTGGTGGTTGATTCCGCCAACAAGGTGTCCGCTAATCACGTGATGGGCTCGGGAAGTTGTAAATTAAAGTACACATATGTCCATGGAGGAATCACTACTTTCGAGCCCATCTATGATACAGCAAAGAATGCGTGGGACTTCATGGTATCACGTAAAGTTTATGGGGATGATGTGTTTAGGGCTACTTATCAGACGACAAGCAGGAATTTGGGGCTCGAATGGTCCAGGAGTTCAAAGTTAAATGGATCATTTAAGGTATAACTTTCAAGCTTTCTATCCATATTTTCATTGGCAATTTCCATTGCAATTGAATTACAAAGCTAAACTATTCTATAGTTGGCACTGAAATTTCAATTGGCTTGCTTAAGTTTTTTGGGGCTTATTTCTGTTAGCTCTATTTTTTTTTTGAACATTTGTGAATTTGTTGGCTCACTAGCTTGTTGATCTCATTTTCCAACAAAAGTAATCGTTGGTGACACTGCTTTTAAAAGTTACTTGTTACTTACCAGAAAGTTGTCTTCTGGTGAACATTAAAGAATGTGTTGGAGGTGTACATTCTACTCCACTTGTATTTGCACTGGTCATGTGCCAAAATTCTTCCTAAACGCCTGTTGGCCGTGTCATTGCAGACCTTTTATAAACCACAGAATGTGGAATAATCTGTAACTATATGACCGTTTTTTACAACATTAAGTGGTCGGAATGTAAATACCTCGGGGTTTATCGAAGGTTAATGATGAAGGGATCGTAGTGCACTTGTATAAAGTCTCTGCGAGGTTTATTGGTTTTGCTTGTTTCTTATCATTTCTGCTCAGTTATTAAACACACGTGTTGATGTTATTTTGAATTGCTCATTATTGTGAGTCTGCATTCTATGTCTAGTCTGAGAAGGGCCTATCCTTCCCTGATGTCACAAGTTGATCAATTTCTTTTTCTGGATGAAGGCTGCATGTTGAAAAATCTAAAAAAAATGGGAGTTCATTTTATGGTTTTAATAATATAAATGTTCACATGTCATATTGATTCATTGACTCATTTGTTCGACTTTTCTGATTTTGATGTGCATCAATAAGCGTCCACAAAAAGAACTTTTGCCTTGATAAGTGCAAGCGACCATTAAAGGTTATTCTACATTGGTATTGGTTCCCTGATTGTCATTTGATAGGGTCACTGCATTGTTGGATATGATAGATCATGAAGTAGGACACATATCTGGATTTTTTGCAGTTATGCCATTGCTTTTGTGGGAATTCAGCTTAGATCCATTATGTTGCCATAAATATGTTTTCTATTTGATTGTTGTGGAGAGATGAACCAGTTTAAAAATGGCCTTCAATTGTTAATAGTGAATAAGAATGTTCTCATTCATGTTCACCTATAAGTGATTGATATGCCATCACAATGTGCAATGAAATGCACAAATTATAACATCTATTATAGCCATGATATTTTATCAGCATCACTATTGTTATGCATTCTGTGTGAAAATCTTTGTTGAAGTATTTGATAGTTGAACCATAATGAAATTGTTTTAAGCTTCTCGTTTTTACCCGTGCCCGTCCTAATTGAATGTTCCCCGGTTTCTGATGACGTTTAAAATGAACACGAATCATTTCTAGCTAGATTGTATCCTTATTCTGTAAACCAAAAACATGCACTCACTTATATTGGATAATTCAGCGTAAAAAACTGATCATCTGTTGTAGAATGAACTTCATAAGTGGACAGTTTCTTATTTTAAATTATAAATTTAAATTTGTTTGTGTCGTTTTTTCTTCTTTCCTTGTATCCTCCATGCCTTATTTTGTTCTGACAGAATAGTAACCAGATCAACCTTATGGTGGCTCACTTCATGCTTGTCATTTGCTTTTCCTTCTGTGAAATCGACAATGTGGTCCCCCAGACGCCTGCACAGTGGGAGCTTCATGCACATGCATGGCTGTCCTTTTTCTGTTCTTTTTTTAAATATATAAATCAGTGCTTCTTGATCTTGTGTTCAAGGTTTGGTTTATTGATAGATATTGAACTATGTAAAGCATCTAAAGAAATTCTTCATTTTTTGTTTTGATTCCCTGAGACCACTCCTGACTCGAGATTCTCTTCCTGTCTCCAGATCTGTGCATCTCTCTGTTTGCTTGAGGAACGGAAAATCCCGAAGTTAAGTGCTGAGACGTCGTGGGACTTTGAAATGTGATTCTGTTTCTTCTGCAATAATTTGGATGTAACTACTTCTGGCTACCCTTCATAATTGGGTTTCACCTAATGTTTTCTAGCTCAATTTGTTGATTCACAAGTGAGCTGTTCATTTTGCTTTGTATAATCGGTTTATGGTTACCAACATGAGTATTGATCCAAAGTTGCTTTTTGTCAGTCTTCCGATTTTAAGACACTTCCATGTTTTGATGCCCCGACTTTACCCGAATTAATGATTTAAGGCTCCATCAAAATGATGCATCTGCTATCTTCTTCCTAACTCTATTTGGTGATTTTGACTTTTGAGATTTTCAATCTAAATCTTTTCGCGCTCCTGCCTTTTGTTCTTGTATTCACTTTGTGTTTTCTTCATGGAAGACTCTCAATTTTTTCTACTTGATTGATTATTTTATCCATTTCTTGTCTGAGGATTCTTCAGTACCAACAACAGCTTCAAGTTTGTTCATTTGACCATCTTGGTAGTTACAGGGTAGTGCACTTAAATTTTTGCTAATGTTGGTATTTTGACCATTTCTCTCCTAGTAATACGAGAAACTTTCGACTGAGTAAGTAGTAGTGTAGTACACAACTGATTAGGAAGGAGAAAAAGAGGGGCTATAAATGTTTGTTTTGGTTATTCAATTGTATCTATGACATTGTTTCTTTTGACTACTCGTTATTCACGTGGTTTTCATGTGAATCATTCTATCACATGTAGTGGTCGTTTGATCATTTTTCATTGTGAAATTTGAATGAAAAAAAAATAGGTTTTGAAAAATTAGATTTGTTTTTGACTATTTGTAGTAATTTGAAATGAAAGAAGTGAAACATCTTTTTGTTATTTTTGAAATTCTTGAAAATTTTGAAATTCAACTTCTGAAATATTGTGGCCAAACAAGTTTTCTGGAGTTAAATTTCATAGAAAAAAAGTTTAAAAAATTCATGATCAAACACCTTCTATAGTCATTAGTTAGAGATCCAAGAAAACTATTTTATAAAAAGACTTTTGGGTTGAGATTTTAAGAATAGAAAAAATAAATTTTATAAATGATATTCCCCCCTAATACTCCACCCACCTCAAATTTGCCTACCCCCATCACCATCCTATCTTCCCTATGCAAGTACCCCACCCCACCTCCATGCAAACCTATCCTCATCCACATATTATATATAAATGCACAGAAACAAATATTTTTAGCATATCATATACTAAAAAATAAGGCAGTAAATTAATTATGATTCAAGAAAATATGTTTTAACAAATTGATTCTCTAACCTCTAGTATTGGCGACAATAGTTTTTAAATTGATTAGCGAACCATTAATTGCCACTCTTTAAAAAAGTTGGAATAAAAACACATTTTCAATATAAGTAGATTCAATCTTTCAAGAAAAAAAAACAAGATTCACATGCACTTTTTGTGCGTATTGTTAGTTTAAATATAATGTTTGTTTTGATTATTATTTAAATTTTATTGTATGGTATGTTTAAATTTATCGTTAGGTAATAACACAAAGACCCGATCGATTTTGTATGATTGCGTTGTTACTTTACCATTTTCTTCTCATTTTATTTTTGACTTATTATTTAATACTCCTTTACCCTAATTTTTCATAGAATCTCTATTCAATACACTAGTTTTCTTGTAGGTTTATCATCAAATTATGTATGCGTAACGATGGAGAACGATATAATTTAACCAACCACATTGTATTCACTAAAACAATATCACACGATACAATTCAATACGATACCTTATGAAACAGTATGTAACAAAGTTATGTTTATTAAAATAATACAATATCATACAATAGAATAGAATATAATGGAACACATTACGAAACAAGACGTAATAACCGTTAGCTACCCCTATCACTTATCAGCTCCTGTTAAGTTCTACTGGTACATGCCATGGGGGTGCAACGTACAAGATCCTCTCTCGTTCTTACAGTGTCAAGCTTTGGACTTCGCTTGAAGAAGAAAAAAGAAAAAAACTGAAATAAAAAACTTGTTAGCCCTAAAATCTAAATCCACCAAAGCACAGTATACCATAGTGAAGAAGAAAAAACTCATGAACAACTGAGGATATTCAGCAAAAAAAAAAAAAAAGATTTGATTTTTCATTTGATCCTCCAAATCTTGAACAGTAAAATTCATCAAAAAAGAAAATATCAAGATCTGTAACTTAATGACCTCAGAGCTTTGATACCAATATCAGTTTCTGCAATGGCAAGCTTACACAAAGGCAAGATTTTCTTATTTTCTTTGCTTTTGTTATTTCATGTTTCATGGGTTTTTAGAGCTTTTGCTGAAGTTGTAATTGAAGAAGAGAAGTTGGAGAATCTTGGGGTTGAAGAGAAATTTGAACATGTTGATGCTTTAGATTTGTTAAAAAGACACCAACTTCAAATAGAAAAACTAGAAGGGATTGTTGAAAATCTTAGCTTGCTTGTTTCTAGGTTAGAATCAAGATTACTGGAATACCCTAAACTTCAAAACTTGGAAGGTAAAGGGCAGGTTGTTTTGGGTGAAAAAAAGAAGATTCAAAGTGAGGGGTTTGTGGGTAGTGAGGGTAGTTTAGAGAATAAAGTGTCTGTTACAAAGTATAGTTCTCTTTGGTTGGAGAGGTTTCAGTTTATATCTGCAGTGAGATTAGGATCAGATGCAACTAGCATCAATGTGTTACCATTTAGAGATGCTGAAGGATTGAGTAAGTATGTTGCCATTGGCGATGATAGCGGGAAAGTGTATGCATTCTCTAGAAATGGAGAAGTTTTGGTTGAATTTCAGACGTCGATGAGTTCACCAATAACAGCTTATGTGTCGTACTTGTCTGTTTATAAGAATGAGAGTGTGGTTGTAACGGGGCATGAGAATGGTGGGATTTTGATGCATAGAATTTGGGAGGTAGTAGTGCCTGATGGTGATGACAGGGCTACTCTTCGTATGGAAACTGTAGGAAAATTTGCTTCACCGGAAATCGAGGAAGGGGGGTCTTCGATTTTAAGTTTAGAGGTGCATCATGTTGGAAGAAATAGGTATATCTTGTCCACAGATTCTGGTGGGAAACTAAGGGTTTTTAGGGAGAACGGAACTGTTTATGGGGTGACAACGCCAAAGAGCAGGCCACTTGCGTTCTTGAAACAAAGGCTTCTATTTCTAACTGAGACTGGTGCAGGGTCATTAGACTTGAGGACCATGAAGATTAGGGAATCTGAATGTGAAGGTTTAAACAATTCTATTGCTAAGAGTTATGTATTTGATGCAACTGAACGGTCGAAAGCATACGGGTTTACATCTGATGGTGATTTGATTCATGTGCTACTCTTAGGTGATAATATGAACTTCAAGTGCAGGGTTAGATCCAAAAGGAAGTTAGAGATGGCTGAGCCTCTATCATTTCAGGCGATTAAAGGATATTTGCTTGTTGCTAACCAGGAGAAGGTATCACTGTATAACGTGTCATCGCTGCATTACGTGCGGTCTGGTGGACCAAGGCTTTTGTTCTCTGTTGGTCATGATGAGATTGTAGCATCATTTTTGAGCTCTCAATCTTTGGAACTAAATGATAAAAGTAGAAACGTTATTCCTTTAGTTGCCAGTGATCAAGAAAAGCTCGTTATTCTTGGACTGGGAAGTGGTTACTTGGGGATATATCGCTCAAACCTTCCAGTTTTCAAAAATGAGTTCAACACTATGCAGTGGACGAGTCCTGTTTTATTTTTCATCATTTTCCTTTTAGGTGCATATTATTTTTTTGCCAAGAAAAAGGAAGCTCTTACCTCCTGGGGACCTGATGATCCTTTCCCTTCTACGGGTGTTACAAGTGGGGCTCCAATGGGATCCAGCCAGGGTGACAGATCTTATCCTGATTCATCGAGGAATGCAGATCTTATGGATCTTAGGGGTAGCAGCCTCAGAGGTCCATCTGGAAGGTATGTCTCTCCATCTCGCTATTCTGGTGGAACGGCAGGTGCCTATAGAACGAATTCTGCTGATACAAATTCTAGGCCTGCCTCTGTTGATCCCAACTTTAGAACTACCTCGGAGTTAAAATTTAGGGGGACAAATCTAGAAACACCAGGTTTTCCAAAAAGGAGAGATAGCCTGTTTGTAAACAGTCAAATTGTGGATGATGGCAAGTAACCTGCAGTTCATGTATGGTACATGTGTTTCAGCACCATACTGTCATTTGGACACGTGGGGAAGCTGACAATCTATAGCTGTAACTTTGCAACGGGTTACTCGTGTTGAGAGGAAATAAAAAGAACATTTTGAGCTTTCAGTTCTGATTGCCTTGAATTGATAATCAAGGTTAAGCAGATGTCTGTTAACAATTTTTTCTCTCTTTTCCATTTATGCTAAATATTTATCCCAAGTATGCGCACAATCCATTCTGTAAATTCAGTTCTAGTGGAGATTATTCATATAGTGGTTGAAAGATATCTGAGTTTGAGATCAAGGCGGAAAAGATAAGCAGAACCCCGACCCCCAAATAGAAAAAAGGAAAAAAAAAAGGAAAGGAGAGATCATGATCAATGGAACTCAAAGGAGTTTCTAGAATTTCATCTTTTTTTTTCATAAATAATCCCCAACAAGAATTTGGTTACTACTTTGGTCTGGTCGCCGAGGCCAAAACTAATACGTGGTAGAATAGCTTCACTTTAACTTATCTTAGATGGAGACAAAGGAGCCTCGTGGGTACAATTGAAGTAAGGTACTTATCGCTGGAACGCTTTAGTTTTATTGTTATTGTCGCCATCATATATATATATATATCTATTACTCTGTTCGATGGAAACTAAGCTTAACAGGAGAACTTCCTTCAGGAATGTCAAGGTTCTTACAATTCCTGCTTGTGCATTTAATGCTCCATTCCTCATGTAAGTGAACACTTCATTCAAATTTTATCATAGGTTTGAGCCATACTCTTTTAAGGTCATGTTTGCTTGCAATTTATATATGCTCATGAATTGTTTGACATCTTGTAGATCAAGATCTAGGCAGTTGGTCATTATTTGGCTTTTGAAGTAGACTAATCAATGTAAAAAACGTTTGTTATGGCTTCATTTTGTGAGGACTTGCTCATGTTTCTCGCTGAGAGGAAGCAACCATGATAATCTTGTTGGTCTACCACAGTTACTTAGTCGAACAAAGTATCACAGTGAAAAATCCTGATGATTCTAATGGACAATTAAGTAGTAACCTTAAGTTTAGTGCAAGTCATGTGCTGTAGAAATCCCTTGTTTCCTTTTCCTTCGGGTGGCTAGGAGAGGGAAAAATAGTCCATTTGTTATAGTCTTTGCAGAATGCCTTTTGATTTTGTCTGCTTATTTCATTTACTTGTCAAAAAGTGTTCCTTGAACAAATTAAACCTTAGAGGACAGTATTAGGCATAGTTTGTCAAGGCTCAAGAAATAGAAAGGTTATAAAGATGTGAGATGTCATTCTTCATATAAATGGAAGTTACTGCAAATTGCAGTAGAGTATACCTTAATACTGAAACTGCAGATTTGCACAGTAATATTCGATAGCTATGAACGAGATATTTTCTATTAGTTTCAAAACCTTAGTGTTAGTATAGTGTAAATGACCATAAAAGGTTGTTTAAGATTGGTAAATACTTTATGCTTTGAGAGTAGTAGTAGTCCTTTACACAGGATTAAAATGAACTGCATAATCACTTTTTGCTATTGGTGTAGTTCGGAGTATGTAGATGATCCTATAGCGGTTAGAGATATCCTAGGTCCTTTGTAAGATGAAGTAGGATCTAGTTTAGTTTTGTTTTAAGTACACGCAATTGTATGTAGCTCCATGATGTAAATTTGGGATCCCAGCCTTTAGTGCCAAATATTAATACACAAAACTGTTACCTTTGTCAAAAAAGATTGGTAAATACTCCTCCATCCTTAACCAAAAGTCTTGGATTCGAGATATGGAAATGAAGTCGCCTTTTACAGGGAGCGAAAGAGTGGTCTTTCAGGATTGGTCGTTGTGTGTCACCACCTCCCACCTATCCTACACATTTGATTATGAATCCAAATTAACCAGGTTCTAAAGCAGGTAGGAGAAACCGGGTGGAAACAAAGAAAACTATAGTGTAAAATGTTTTTGTAGAAAATATTGTTCACCAGTATTAGCTTTATATACAATAGAATAGTGAATATTGTGTAAATCATTATCAACACTTGGTTGGACATAAAGTTGCACAAGTATATGATTTGGTAGAGGATGAGTTGTATTAGTAGTATTTGGTGATTTTATTTGGACTTATCTAAGAGAAGACAAAAGTTCATACGCAACTTAGAATAAGTCACATGTAGGATGTACACTTAATTTGAGGGTCTGTCGGAGATAACCTCTCTATCTCACAAATGTAGAGACAATGTTTGTGTACATCCTACCATCTCCCGACTTCATTTGTAGGATTGTCTTGTGTATGTTGTTGTAATAGCCTAATAGGTTCAAAGGGTTCTTCCAATCAAATATTAACTAGTTTGAAAGTGAATCTTAGTTGATTGATAAATTATAATCATTTAAAAAAATTATTTTTACAGTCTAATAAAGTTATCAAAATAGGTTCATAGGATAAACTTCTGTCCCTACCAAATTAAGAAAAGGGAGGGAAGGGGCATACATCTATTTATAGAATTGTTCATCAATTGTGCTCGAAAGTTCTACATTGTAGCATAAAGGATGCAATTCTATATTCATGGTTTAAACGAGAGATCTTTAATTAAAGATGAAAAAATACTTATCATTTCATCACAATCGTAATTGGTTTACTTTTTTTGTAGCACTTTCTAGATATTCGATATAATCTACTCCATCCCTTTCAATTTAAGTGGTCTTACTTTTCTTTTTAGTCCGTTCCAAAACTATCTCTTTCTATATTTAATAAGTTTTCTAATTTCAACACTTCACATAACATGTTTAAGACCACAAGATTCAAAAATATTTTTTTATTTTTTAAACTTTATGCCCTACAGAGTTAATTTTACGGCCAATGTGTATCCGACACCCTTTACCTAAGATGGCTCCGCTCATGCCTATCAAACTAAGATAAAGCAAGCATCTGCCTGAGCCCCTATAGGTCAAAAAGCTATGCAACACAAAACACTTAAAAATTGGGTTGGTATAGTCTTTGAAACTTTGAAATTAATTTTTCTCAAAAGAATGCAAATGTTTTTCTTATTCTTTTATCAAAAATAAGTTTTCATCCTATTCTTAAGTAAGAAAATTGGCCTTTCGAAGTGGAGGGGACCATATATATATTTTTCTGAATTTTTTGTAAGCAATACATCATCTTTAACAACATTTTTACTCACCTATTTTTATTAGACTTATTTTATTATTATAAGTGATGGCTTACTATTTGGAATTTATTCAAACCTTCTCATAATTAAACTTCCACTAGTTACTCGATTGAAGCTTTCCATGCCGTGTTGCTAAAATTTGGCATGCTAGACCAAGAGTCAATACAATAACACAATAGTATATCCAGCGTGATTTCATAAATTGAGTCAGAAGAGGGTAGAATATTTACCGATTTTAACTTATCAACACATTAACAAACATTTATTATGTCAATATACCATAACTACGTCTTAGTTCAAACAAGTTGAATTCAACATAGTTCCTTTGTTATTTTGGCGTGCGGTTAAGAGAAAGAGGTCAGGTGTGTGGGCCCATAGGGTTGTATGAATGAGCGACACACTTGTATGCCTTTCGAGGATTCCCCCTTTAAATCTTGTCAAGATAGTTACATCAAGGATAGGAGAATCCTTGGTTGAGCATGACAATTGCAAGTAGATACTTACTGATCGTTTGGTATAAGAGATAATAATCTCAGAATAAAATGCAAGACTATCTTGTTATGTGTTTGGCTAGGATTTATCTCATCATTTGTACTATAATGATAGAATAAGTTATCCCGTATACATGATGAGATAACTAATCTCATAAGATAGGATAATTTGTCTATTCTATCTCATTACCAATCAACCCCTTAACTAAGTACTTTTGACACATAACATAAATTTATGTATAAAAAATTGTTGAAGTTATAACAAGTACCCATAGATATGAAAATTCGTATAATATAAATTTTGAATCCGCCTCCGTATTCAATCATGTTGGTATATGTCATTGTTGATATGCTATACGTCATTGATAGGAATAAAACAACTCAAAGAAAATGTTGTATGGAGTACCGTTGCAAATTCATCAGTTTTTATATTTATCCAAAATTGAGAAATTGCCGTTGCCCAAACACAATCAAATGAGTCCTTTTCAAATTGGAATTATTCTTCATTTACTTTGCCACCCTATATTTGATTTATTTATATTTTGTACGATGGCTAAAGAAATAACTCCTAATAATTATTTTGTCAACGTAATCTATTTCCTTAAATGTTTATTAGAAAGACAAAATTAAATATAGTTAACTGTTAGTATAGATGGTCAAATATTAAATTATTTTTAGTTCTGCTGAATGCATCTGTTAGTAGAGTGACTATCTTATATGAAATATATATATATATATATATATATATATATATATATATATATTATTATTATTATTATTTTTTTATTTTTATTTTTTTCTTTTTGAACTTTGTAAAAATCATGCCTTCACTATGGAGTACAAAGTCACTATAAAACCGTGATATTCTCTCTTTTTCTTCACAAAAAGAGAGACATTTCTTTTTTCATGCACACATTTTTATGCTGAATAGTAGTTAGTAGTAATAGTTAAAAATTTATTCAAATGAATATTTTTTTTTCAAGTTTCATATTAACTATGTAATATTATTTTTTGACATTTCTAAATTATCACTTTCTTATTAGAACATATTTCGATGCTGAGTTGGTCAAATATTTATTTCCAATAGGCGCATTATAGACCAACTCAATATCGAGGTCTGTTATAATTAAGATAGGAAACTAGTAAAAAAGTATCAGCTTAGGTAAAAATTCGAGATATAAAACTCTCGAAAAGATAATAATTTAAATATATTTTTTTACCATTAACTCTAACTAAAAAAGTGGAAAACTTTGGTTAATATTATGGTCCTGTGTACCCATTTTGGGCAATAGTATTATATATAAGTTAAGTTTTAAAAAAGGAATACTAAACATATATAAAATTATACAAAATAAAAAAAGGAAAAAGGTTTTTTTATTTGGTAAATGTCTTTTTTTTTTTTTTTTTTTAGTGATACAGATCTATTACAGTAAAAAACAAAACAATAAAAAGGGAGAATTAAGAGAAGTAAAAATAGTTTTTTTTTTTGGTAGAATTCCAACTACTCTGAAATAGGATCAGAGTTGCAAAACATTTAAGCTTTTGCAACTCAGATCCTGAAGAAATAAAAACAA